CTTGATATCAGAATTTTGGTGTCCGACGATCCGTCCCCAAACCCAACACTAAGTGTCCCTAAAGGGTTACAACCTGGTACCATAATTCGAGGAATAACCGCGTAACTGGAGCACAATAAAGGATCTTTCCTTGCGCAGGTTGTACTCGCATGCACGCGATCGACTCTCGTGCCGAAGGCCTGCCCCATCGCTCTCTGCGAGTGGGCCCGATATATCGTAATTAAATCTCGATGCGATACGGCCTAGGGTCGATCTTTACGATCATACGGGATTCGATCCCCTAGGGGAAGGAATGTAATTGTTACCGGGCACATCTTGCGGGCCCCGAATCGATCCTACGATCCGCCACTAAATTGCCCGCGAATTACAAGGGGAATTACGACGTAGCGGGAGTTGCGTCGCGGATCGCCCGGATGAGACTTACGAAGACAGGTGTCGAGGGGATCGACTTTGCTATCCCGATCCCCGATCCTCTCGTCCCGAACCTGTCGCGGCTACGACGAGAGTGAATATCAAAAGGAGATCCACGACCAGGCCGCATAGATTCCTGATCGGGATCCTGTTATCGCTCCGCTGCTCCGATTCGTTCGGACGATCTCATCGATTCATGGACCCCGAACTCGTTGATCAAGTCTCATTAATTCAGTTGATGAATTCATACAACTCTAGGAGGTCGGTTTTCATCACTAAAAATGGATAAAACATCGAAAATAGGAGGTTTCCACTTGTCTCAGGGGATGTGAACTACGGACGATCTCATCGATTCATGGACGCCGAACTCGTTGGTCAAGTCTTATTAATTCAGTTTAAGAATTCATATATCTCTAGAAGGTCGGTTTATAATTGCAAAACTTCATCGAGGCGCTCTCGTTATCACATCAGAAAAAATATCTGAAGATCCTGGACCCCTAAAGTGCGGACGATTTCAATGCATGGCGTTGTATCTCACTTATACTCTACTTCGTGGCAAAATCGATTCTCGGTTTTCTGGGCTCTTTTGTTTCACTCTATCGATATCATTGCGAGAACTTGCAGACTTATCAAGGGCTGATCGGTCCTCGGAGGGTCTCTTTCCTCGACAAGGACGTCGGGCATTAACGTTTCTTCGGTGAATTTCCTTTTCGTGGCGATTACGTAAGCGGATGCGAAACCGATCGCAGGGCGATCCTGGCGGACAACCGGTCCCCCGATAAATCGCGATCTATCGGGACCTCATCGGCGCGAGATATCGGGGAAGAGTTATGTCGCGTTACTTGCGATTGGGTCCTCGCTGGAATATACGTGTTCGCGAGCGTGGGTACGTTAATCGGCGAGTTGCCGGTAACGATCGATCAAACGATCGGAGCCATTAGACGATACCGATCGGATCTGTCAGCCGGTAATCTCGGGTTAAGCAAGCATTTTGACTGGCTCGCTTCTTTAACGAGATCCATCGTCACCTCTCGGCGCCTCGATTGTCCGTCGCTGATATCGCGCTGTCAAAACACGAGACGAGTTCACCTATTGGCTGTATATCAACGCAAAACGAGCGTTAAAAGTCACATATTTCGCTAACGACTTGGGATGAACAATGGAAAAACCTTACTTGCCAATAAATGTCGACCGGAAAGTTTCTCTTGACACCTCGAGTGTCCGATGATGGGGCATGAGCGCGCACGCGCGTATGCATCGCGGTGTTTAAACCATGAAACGAGTTTACGGGTTAAAATGCTATATGTATGTTAAAATGCTATGTATTTTCTAAAAAGACTCATTTTTATCCAGCACTTTCTTGCCCTTTTTGCAATTGGCGGGTCCTTCTTAGCAGCGATGAAATGTCAATTTGCCGGTCCTTGGGGATTTTTAAACTTCTCACAGAAAATGTGAACTTTTCACTGAAAACCTGCGCGTACGCGCGTATGCATCGCGCTGTTAAACCATGAAACGAGTCCACGGGTTAAAATGCTATATGTATGTTAAAATGCTATGTATTTTTTTAAAAGATTCATTTTTATCCAGCACTTTGTTGCCTTGTTTCAATTGGCGGTTCTTTTTTAGTAGCGATGAAATGTCAATTTGCCGGTCTTTGGGGATTTTTAAACTTTTCACAGAAAGTGAGAACTTTTCACTGAAAACATCGAGTGTCCGATGATGAAGCTTGAGCGCGTACGCGCGTATGCATCGCGCTCTTAAACCATGAAACGTGTTTACGGGTTAAAATATATTATATACAGAATGAGCGATAAATATATATATTTTACCAATGAGTTAGGTTGGAAGACTGAAAAACTTCCTCTCTAGTCATTGTCGGATAGTTTCACTTGACGCTTTGATTATTTGCCGATAGTAAATGCGCGGGTATACGTTGCCCAGTTGGAACATGACAGGAGTTCATCCACCGGTTAAATGCCATATATGAAAAGAGTGTTAAAATGAAATTACGTATTATATTAATGACTGAGGTTCAGAAATGGAATATCTTTCTCTGCGATAAATACCGAGCTGGAGTTCTCCCTCTATGCCTTAATTAACTACCGATGATGCGTGTACGTGAATCCGTGAATGCAAGGCTCTACTAAATCATGACACCAGTTCACCTACTGATTAAATGCCATAAACCAGAAGAGGGTGAAAGTAACATACTTCGCTAACGACTCAGGGTGCAAACTTGAAAAACTTATACCTCATTAAACATCCACCGGAAGTTGTCTCCCGAATCCTCGATTTTTCCTATCGGTATCTCGTAGTCACAACATTAAACGAGTCCTCCAGCTGATTAAATACCAACGCAGAGCGGTAGTTAAAAGTTATATATTCCGCTAACGACTCGGATTGAAAGATCTACAAAACGGTCTCAGATGAATATCCCACGGAAGGTTTCTCCCTGAGATTAACGAAGCAGCGGGTGTTCCGCATTTTTCGCGTTTCCTGACCTGGGGTGACGCAGGGACGAGAGATAAATACTCGAATAAAGGTGAAATATCGCGATTTCCCGTAGTTTGGCGCATCCAGGAGGCGCTTTCCCCGACCTAGGATTTTTCCGGTCTAACTGGTGGAAGCCAATTATACTCGGGCTGCTCGATCGGGCGCCGATTTCCTACCGACTCGGCGAGTAATAGGCCCCGTACGACGTGTTTTCCCTATCGCCGACAATTTATCGAGGAGCCAATATAAGGTTAGACCGTGCGTGCCGGTGGAGAAGCACTCTCTTTTTATCCCGGCTTCCTCCTGGCGAGCCTTTTCAACTTTATCCCTAACCGATTAGGTCCCGGTAGAACGTCTTAATTGCATCGGCCGGAATTCGCTCGTTAGTTCGCGGCCCTGCATACGAGAGCCGCGGTTGAACTTGACTGTCGCCGGGAAAAATTCCCGGTCGGCTGATCGATCGCCGTCGACATTTTTTCCCTGGAACTGGAGACATTAAATACCGGCCGCAGCGGTATTCATTAGTCAACCGGTCCCTCGGGATATGCATCGGATCCTTATCCCAGCAAACTGGGTGTTACGCAAGACGCGAACACATCGGGGGTACCTTTCTCGAGGAGTCCAACTGGACGATCGCGATGCACGGTTTCACCTCGAAACGAGTGATTTTATTGGGAGGATGTGGCGTCGATAGGCATCGATCGATGGATCGCCCCTTGAGAGAGAAGGTGCCGATCCCTGCACGTCCTGCCTAGTGGAGATTCATTTCATCGATCGAGTATGACCTGTAATGGACTCTCGATTGTTCTCCACGGCATTACGGAGGAGGGTTCTACTGGAAGTTGGTGCTTATTTTACCACGTTGATGGTAGAGATAAAGGACGTTATCTACATTCAGGAGATAATCGCCAATTTAAGGTGACGTGAAAGTGGCGTTAAAGGGGTCTCGTTCATGAAACTTTTCTTCGAACTGGGTGCACCGAATCGTTTCGGGGAGAGAATACCAAAAATTCATATTTTTAAATAAAAATATGATTAGGCTCAAGATTTTTTGTTAATTGACGTAACTCTTTTGGCATAAACGCTATTAACATTTACGTCGAAATGTCTTGTTCCAGTCTCGAAGATTCGCGAGAGATAGATTTGAACTGAGATAGACTTACCCTTCAATGTTCGGCGAGTATTCGATTTTATCCTTCCGTTCCAATCTTTTCGGTGCTACGTCACGTATGTAATTTGGAAGACAATGCTTTTGGAAATGCAGAAGCACGGTATCGTTTCTTCGCGAATGGGTGCCGAAAATTTGCGTTCGTGGACGTCCCAAGGACTTTGTCTTCGCGACACCTTGTATAGGAGCCCCCTCGCGTTTCGCCCGACCGGGAGGGCCGAGCCCGGTAACAAGTACTCTCACATGATCTTCTACTTCAAGTTAAAGGGGAAACAAGTATAATTAACGGGGACTTTATTGCGACCATTAAGAGACGCGCCTCGGCGAGTAAAAGGCCGAAGTAAGGAAAGTGGTCGCGGCTCGGCTTGTCGAATTTATCGTTTCCCGTGGCGGATAAAATCCGGCCCTAGGGCCCGTAGGGTTATGTTCTCTCCCCAGCTGGTACATAAGCTTTGGGCCCGGTATATAAGATTACATTGTGATGCCTCGCGCGTCGGCCGGGTTCCCAATAAATTTCCCATACCCCGATAAAAGTATCATCGGAACCTCGCGTCGGGCCTCGTTGTAAATCAATCCAAGATGGCGGAGGAGATACCGCGTAAACCGCGAGTCGCTTGCTAATCGGTCCCCGCGAGTTATACGCCTTCCCCGGTAAATAGCTACGACAAGAAACGGATGTTTACATTCGACTGTAAATTATCCCGGGATTACCCCGCGCCGGAGGTTCGCTAGTAAATTATTAATTTAACTTATTGCCCCGCCAATGCGTAGCGGGCGATCGGTGCCTTACCGATTAAGCGCCCGGGCGAGGTAGATCTCCGTTCGATTCCTTGCCTGTGCAGCGGTCCCGATGCATCGGCCCGATAGGGCTTATCCCCGAAGGAAACCTCCGAGTACCGACAGTAAATAGCGAATTCTTCTCTTTCAGGATGGTTCTCCGTGGTGTCGAATAACAGCGGTACCGGAAGTGCCAGGGTCTACCGGAGAGTGGGCGCGCTGGTCAAGGCTGGGGTTCCCGCCTTCTTGTTGGCCAAACCCTTGAGGGCCTACACCCTCACGCACTCCAAAATGGGTAAGAACAATGAAATCCCTCGAAATGGATTCCGATCCAACGTAATAAAAGTTGTTAAGGCGAAGTGAAACACGTAGCGAAATTTCATCGATGTCGGTAAAAAGAATTCTTTTATATACCTATGTTACCGACTTTCGTATTTGTAATTAGGACCTACACCCTCCCGCACTCCAAAACGGGTAAGAACGATGAAACCCCTCGAAATGGATTCCGATCCAACGTAATAAAAGTTGTTAAGGCGAAATGAAACACGTCGCGAAATTTCATCGACTTTGGTAAAAAGGATTCCTCTAAATACCTATATTCATAACGTTTGTATTTATATTGACAGCTGTGTCGAATCATGAGTATTGTACGTAATGGCATACTTCATCTGTCGTTTTTGTGCAATAATTATAATTAAATCGATGCAAAACTCCAGAAATCCCCTGGATTCATGGTTTTCGAGGCTCTAATTGACTGCAGAGTAACCCCCGCACTATCTGCGATTTCCGTATCAACTTAATTATCGCTTCGAGACGTGGTATTCCGATCGTTTTAGCATAGAAGCGCGTAAGACACTTTTTTGCCTTTATCCTTTATTTATTTCGATTTGAGGGAGGTTTCACTTCACCTTAACCTCCTCAGTGAACGCGTAGAAATAAAACCTACTCGCGGTAGAAATTCATTTTGCTTACAAGTTAGACGGCAACCGAAGACCGGCACCAGAGGCACGCAACATTTACTTCACCATACAAAACATTTAACGAAACGAATGCCTGTCCTATGTGCGCGTACATACGTAAAAACAATAGGTGTATTACATCTTGAAACGTTCACCGAGTGCTCATGCCGTATGCATTTCTGGTGCGCAGTCTGACCAAGGGGGTTGTGAATCATTTTTCATCGCATAAAGTCATCAACATCCTAGTTTCTCTCTGTCCCCCCTGAAAACGGTGGAAGTAGTTAGCCGAAGGGTAATCGAGAAGATAATAATATTCCAGCTATGGGTATTAAAGAAGAGGCTATTCGTGCTCGTATTATCCGACGAAAGCAAAATGGAGTTACGACTCGACACAGGTTCGAATGATTACCGTGTCTTACGTTATGAGCTGTTGCACTTTCCCGGCCAGAGGATCATCCCTCTAATCCTGACGCGCACTCGTACACCGTTCGGCCAGGTTTCCGCGACTTTTGAAAATAGGGGGAACCTATAAGAGGTTCGTAAACGTACGCGGTAAAGAGTCGGCTTCGGATCCTCTTAAATGCGAACCTTAGTGGACTCCCTACTTCGCCGGGAAGAAAAATAAATTAAGGACGCATAAGTGCTCTCCTACGGTCCGTGGGTAGTAAAATATCTCGGTGCCCACTGGGAAACGCGTTAGGTTTTAGTCCGTCCGTCCGTGTGTACGTTAACGATGTAAAAGGGAAAATCAGACACTTGTCAATGAGGGTAATACAGTGCAAGAGGCGGTTAGGAGTTACACGCGATTGCGGGTTGCGGAGCCTTCGGGTTTTCAGGACTCGACTAGGCAGAAAGAAAAGTACTCGTAGAAGGGAGTCGGTACTTTTATGCCGCGTTTATAGCGAGCCATAGTCGCAGCTGCGACTGTCGTTGTGTCGGCGCAGCCTCGTAAACGGAGCCGTTAAAACGCGAAATGAGAACCGCACGCAATTCAAAAGACGCGGCCTCTGTCCCTCGCCCTAGCCGCCGCCATCTTTGCCGAGGCGCATGTCCTTCCTTGGGGCATCCTTGGCTTCCATCCCTGGCCGAGGATGCAATAAGGTTGCATCTGCCGCCCTCGCTCCATATCCGGCACGTCTGGGCGATGATCGGGCAAAAGGGGGAGTTTTTGTCAAGAAGTATGACCTCTTGCATACTCTGTACATATTTAAATGCCCGATGAAGTCTGACACGTCTTACGAACGTCTTCGTCCGAAAACCTTTCATTGATGGAACCGCGGATTGCGGTGAAGGATGTTAATTGAAAAATTAAGAAAAAGAACGAGAAATTAAGGGGTAACGCGAGTATTTTAAGTATCCATGGCTTCCATCCCTGGCCGGGGATGCAATAAGGTTGTATCTGCCGCCCTCGCTCCATATCCGGCATGTCTGGACGATGATCAGGCAAAAGGGGGAGTTTTTAACAAGAAGTATGACCTCTTACATACTCTATACATATTTAAATGCCCGATGAAGTCTGAGACGTCTTACGAACGTCTTCGTTCGAAAACGTGTCATTGATGCAACCGCGGATCGCGATAAAGGATGTCGATTGAAAAATTAAGAAGAAGAACGAGAAATTAAGGGGTAACGCGAGTATCTTAAGTACCCTTGGCTTCCATCCCTGACCGAGGATGCAATAAGGTTGCATCTACCGCCCTCGCTCCATATCCGGCTCGTCTGAGCGATGATCGGGCAAAAAGGAGAGTTTTTGTCAAGAAGTATGACCTCTTGCATGCTCTGTACATATTTAAATGCCCGATGAAGTCTGAAACGTCTTACGAACGAAAACTTCGTTCTTAAGACGTCTCAGACTCGAATTCTTCGTTCGAAAACGTGTCATTGATGGAACCGCGGATCGCGATAAAGGATGTCGATTGAAAAATGAAGAAAAAGAAGGAGAACGAGAAATTAAGGGGTAACGCGAGTATCTTAAGTACCGGTCGATCAGTCTTTCGATGGTTGGCGTTGCCGTCATTATCTCTCGAGAGGAGAAGATACCAGGTTTACGTCCGTAACACACGTCATGTGCTAAGGATATGCACGGCGGCTCGGCCAAGTTCGTCTAAGACAAAATAGTGCACGAAGACAAAGTGAAACGACAAGAAACTCGGATTCACCTTCTCAGGAATCTCATCTCCGGAGATGCAGCCCCTCTCGATGTTCTCGAAAAAGAAATGCAATTTAAATGCTCGCCAAATCGAGCATGTAAAGCCGCACGACTGCCGTTAAACGACCACTAGGAAATCCGTTTATTTCAGACCTTACTTTACGTTTCTACTTGGCCGGATGAGTATCGCAGCGTTACACATAAAGAGTACAATTTATCCAAGACGACCGGCTCTTGGGTGGCTAATGGATTCAAGAATGGATTCCGGAGTCCCTATCTTTACATGCCGCTTAATGCCTCCATTTTCCTAATTCGATAAGTTGCTTTTTATCCGCGGACCATTCCGAGACCCTCGGTCGCATTAACATACCGCAAAACAATAGACATCCAAGGTAACTTCAAACGCCCCGTTGCCTGCCGACTCGTATCAACGTATGCAAACGATATTCTATAACGAACAATATACACCGGGATTATCTAACAATCGGCACGTCCACATATTTCCCAATCGCGTACTCAGAAATGCCATTAAACCCTCTTACGCTGTAATAAAATATCACGAAAAGCATGAAACATTACAACCCCTTATCGCCCTCTTCCGATCGCGAATGCTGAGAGAAACTCAGAAGGTAAACCAAGAATCTCGGTAGAGTTTCGCACCAACTACGTTCCGAGCGATGAACGCCCTGCCGAGTATCTATCCGACAAATATCGACATTGGAGGATCGGTTAAGGTGAAGTGAAACACGTCGAGGAACTTGATCAACGTCAATGAAGAAGATTTTTCTAAATGCCTACGTTGCCGACGTTCGTTTTTATATTGACAGCTGGGTCGAATTATATTGGGTATTGTACCAAATCGCATATTCCACCTGTCGTTTTCATACAATAATTATAAAGAAATCGAAGTAAAACTCCAGAAATACTCTGGATTCATGCTTTCTGGGGCCCTAATTGACTGCAGAGGGACCCCCTGCGCCATCTGTGATTTCCAGATCAATTAAATCTTCACTCCGAGACCTCGTATTCCCATCGTTTTGGCATACAAGCGCATACAACACTTTGTTTGCTTTTATCCCGTTCAAATGCGAGTTTATCGATTACCAGAGTGTTCTAAATTGTCGTAAAATTGTCCTGACCCTTTCGATTCTCATATCAGAGCCTTCGACAATTGTATATTGATCGAAATATGAGAGCTCGACGCCATTTTGGTTCTGGTCTGGACTGAGTTAAATTTGTTTGAAAAATCCAAATTTTTAACGTGTCAGGACAATTCTTAGATGATCAGGACTGATGTGTCAAAGTTTCGGACAGTTTGGTCTAATACCCTTAAAAAAAAGTGTTGTATTCGAATCGACTGGTTTGAAGGATGTTTCACTTCACCTTAAGGAATAGAATCTCTTTGTAGACAGACGCAACGGTTCATCACCGAGATTCTGAAATGTTGAAATGTTGAAATGTTGAAACGTTGAAACGTGAAAACGTGAAAACGTGAAAACGTTGAAACATTAAAACGTTTCAACATTGAAATGTTGAAATCTTAAAAATCTTAAAATCTTAAAATCTTAAAATCTCGAAGTCGAAAATCGAGGCCGATCATCCGGGGCATTCGCGCGTGTCTTGAGCCGGGCTTAGGCGTCGATGCACTCGGTGCATACGGCCTGCAGAAGGGAGGTCATTTTCTTGGGTGCAGCGACTGGCCGTGACACGAATGTCAATGTATCTGTTAATGTAACCCAGAGCTCGGTCTGTCGTTCGTGCGTTTAAACGTAGGCGAGTGCCGCGCACGTAACGTAATAGGCACGCGGACCGGTGAAAGTCACGGGGTTCTTACGATACGTATACAGAGTACGGAGTGTACACGCGTTATGCCATTATACTGTAACGATTATGGCCGTGCCGAGTTTCCTCGCGTGAGACGTCCCCAAGAGGGGGCCAACGGGGACCTCTCTTTACGGGCCTGTCATTCCGAAGTGATGCTCCTGTCCGATGTGCATCCCCCTGGCTTGTTTCGCGGAAACAAACCAGGAAACGGCGATTACGATTTCCAGTAATAGCGTTGACTGCCGTGTAACCGCAAACGAGCCACGTATACCGCGTCCAGCTAATCCTCTTCCGATAGCTTTTCTCGATAAATTAACGGAAACGCATAAATTTAAGGCTTAAGGGGATGTGAAAGTGGCATACGAAAGCTCAATCGTTCATAATACTTTTCTACGACCTGGATGTATCAAATCGTTTCATACTTTAAAACGTGAACATGGAGACCCTAAGGTAGGTCCTGAAACTCGCGAGATTTCATTCTTTATAAACTATTTTTAAAATACCTATAAAGAAATTTGAAAAGAATCGAAATTTCATGAGTTTCAGGACCTTCCTTATCGTCTCCCTATTCACGTTGTAAAGTTTCAAACTATTCGGTAAATCGAGTTGGGAGAAAAGTTTTATAAACAAAATCTCTTGGACGCCACTTTCACGTCACCTTAAGCTCATCGAAATATTAAATTAGATTGGTCAGGTTGAAGTTAGATTTTTTAAATAAATTACGAGGGACGGGGAGATTTAAGGCTCGAGTCCTATGGAATTTTTGGTTAGGTTAGAGTAACCGCAAACGAGCCACGCGTTTAGCTAATCCTCTAGACTATTTATAAGAATCACACATTGTAACGCGTTTGATCAAAGCTCGGATTGATCGTTCTCGCAAGGGGAATAAAATCCTGCAAAATCTTTACGATTTGTGCCTACGTCTCATTGTTCCCTCGGTGCAAGCAGGTATTACGCAAGGACGAAAAGGTTGCATTTAGGTTAGTCTTGCGTCGGCGCGCAGCTCATCGTCGCGGTATTATCGACAGTCATTGAATGACAATGGGCAAGTCGAGATTAAGGAAGGTTACGAGCCTCGCCTCGTTGCTGGACGATGACCTGCCACAAGGATCTTGCGCAAGGCTGCATCGAGAATTCCTGTGTTGCAACGATGTTGCACGTTAAAAAAGTTCAGACAGGACGTGACTTATGCGCCAAATGTAGATTAACGTGACGAATCTCTTGCGCATCCGTCTTTTGTCGGGATTCCGTTTACTCATCGCTAGTGACGACTTAATCGATCGTTCACCTTTGGAAACGACTTAAAGAAAGAGTTGTATCGATATCGTACTTTCTGTGAATATTCATTTTTATTAAGAACTTTGTTGCCTTTGTTGCCTTCAATTGGCGGTTCTTTTTTAGTAGCGACGAAATGTCAATTTGTCAATTCTTGGAGATTTTTAAACATTTCATAGAAAATCGTATGTTCTGTGAAATTTTTATCAAGCACTTTGTTGCCTTGTTTCAATTGGCGGTTCTTTCTTAGTAGCGACGAAATGTCAAGTTGCCGATCCTTGGGGATCTTTAAACTTCACAGAAAATCCTATTTTCTGTGAATATTCATTTTTATCAAGCGCTTTGTTGCCTTATTTCGATCGGCGGTTCCTTTTCAGTAGCGTCGAAATGTCAATTTGCCGATCTTTGTGGATATTTAAAATTTTCACAGGAAATCCTATTTTCTGTGAATATTCATTTTTATCTAGCACTTTCTTGCCTTGTTTCAATCGGCGATTATTTTTTAGTAGCGACGAAATGTCAATTTGCCGATCCTTGGGGATCATTAAACTTTTCACAGAAAATGGAAACCTCCGTGCTCATTATACGAAGACGACGGTCAGAGCTGGCGAGGTGCTCCGATTAGCCGCCGTATTCCAGGACACCCGAAGAGCGCCGATTTCGGGTGGAATCGCCGCAACCTCTGGTATCGCTTCCGATGGCAAAAGTTCAAGGTCTTCGGAGAGAGACCAATACGCCCAGTGCTTGGATTCTCATGGTCACGAGATATTCGCAGCCTTATCGGCAAGGGGCGAGTTTTACGCCACCTGCCAAAGCGGCAGTTTGGACACTGGAAGCGATGCAGTTCTTTACAGAGTGCATCAACTCGCCAGGAGGGACTTGCCTCTCAGGGTACTTTAAATATTCATATTCAAGCCTAATCACGGCGCAACATTTTTATATAGCAATGTTATCACGATGTATCTGCTGCATGTACAGCTAAAACGTACAGTGCTATTTCTTTATTTTCTGGACGTATTGGTTTTAAGTATCACAATCTAGGACTACTTGGACATCGTGGGGTCATTCGATCAACCCTTACTCTTTCATTTCATCAATCCTATCCAGTTTTATCTATAATATTTGCAAGTTTGGTTTTGTTGTTTAAAATACCTAAGGTAGAAAGAAAGTGACATGTACGTCCAAAAGGATCCTCAGTATCGGATCTTACTGTCAATTCAAAAGCAAGCACGTGAAAAGTAGCCTCAGTTAATTAAAGGGAGGTCCTTGGTCCCTGTTCTTTATGTCGCTTTTTTTTTGGTTTAATATTTAGAATTTCTGCAAATATTGGGTCTGGTATATTGGCATTGCGAGGGGCTATTCACTCAGAAATCAGTGAACACGATTTCCTTCTTTGAGAGCCGATTGCCTTTGATTTCATATGACAGACAAATGAAGTTGGCCTTCAAATTGTGACTGTTTTGGTGATTTCCACCGATTTCCAGTGATTTCTGCTGGTAATTTCCAGCTACTTTCCCCATGATTTCGTGTGTTAAAATCCTCGATTTCCTGAGCGAATAGCCCCTCGTTATTATCGGTTTGATGCATTGTTTTAAGATCGAACTACCGCTCAGCTTCAGTTAACACATTCGCGACCGGCAAATATTTTCCGTTTCAAATACTGAGTACCGGCGAAAATAATGTAATTCTGAAACTGGTTGCCGCAAACTCGTATCGTTAAAGCAAGGAGAAAAATGATAAAATTTGTGCGCCACGCCGGCTAACAATTAGTGAGCCAACTAAGCAGGACGTGATTTACGTCAGCGGCAATCAGGAATAGAATTTAAAATGACGTGAATTCACGTCAGCGGCAATCAGGAAGAGAACTTGAAAAGACGTGAATTCACGTAAGCGGTCGCGAATGTGTTAAAAACGGTACAAAGGTGTCCAAGTAGTCTTAGGTTACGGTACGTATTTAATCTCGTGTAGTGGCTGAACCGATTACGAGGAGGGCATTTTCTGTATTAAATTTTTTTTCCCTGGATATACAAGGTTTACTCTACCGAGGAAATAGTCGATCGGGGGATTTTGAATTTGGCAGGTTCGCCTGGTGGCTGGACCATTGCCGATACCACTGCCGCGAGATTACAGCGGCCTGATGCAGCTCGAGGGTGCAACGAGAGGTCCCATCGTTTTGGGATGCGCGGTTCCGTTGATGCCAGAACGGCCGATCCCTAATCCCGCGATTCCGGAGCTTTTGGAGTTGGTCGCGACCGGACCCACGGCACCAAGAGTCAAACGAGCGAGGTTAGGATGTCCATCCGAAGCAAGGCTATTGGCGTCCCCGAAGATGCAACGACTGCTCTCCGCATGCAGGTGATTGCAGAGTGAATTGCAAGTTGTACTCGGTTTATAGAAAAATAATGGTGGTTTGCACATCTGAGCGATAAGAAAAAAAAAATTCAGTTGGTTGGATGTCCGCCTAAATCGCAAAGTGTACATGGAATACCTCGTCGGAACACCTTGGCAATTATTAAATGCATTTGTATTTTTACAACGGCTGTAGAGTACTTAGAGATGCTTTACGTAATTGCATCAAATAAGATATTGATTTTTAATCGACGGATAATAACTTCAGGAGGTATACGTTAATTTCTAAAGGGACTACAAGGAAAATCGTGGTCAATTTCAATGAGGCGGCGTTTGGTCAGCTTTTGAAATCTTTCGAGTTTTAATTGTTTAGCGTGAGAGGGGATTTGCTCGTTCAATTTCAAGGACCGATCGGGTCACAGGATTGCAATCGTTTCCTGGGACAAAATTGGACATTTGGATGACATCCCGACGATCTTGTGTTTCAGGCGAGCCTTGGACCAAAGGGCGACGGAGCCGCGGGTGGCGCCCCCCAAGCCGGTATCAGGGGGCACCCAACTGAAGGAGCTGCACCTGAAGGAGATCAAGTCGAAACCGGAAGCGAAGCCGATCCTGCAGAGTCTAAAGGAAGGTCTGGAGCACATCAGGAAGAGTACGATCCGCGATCGGAGCAACTCGCGCGGTAACGCCGGAGGCAACCACACCGGCGGGATCGGTTTCCTAGACAGGATCACGAGGATAGCGCAGGGTAGCAGGGGCAGGAACCCTGCGAAAAAGTCAGCATCCTTCACGTTCGCCGTGCGTCCCGAGATCGGCATGAGGTCGCCCGAAAGGTACGCCAGTTTGGAGTCCGACTCGAATGCCCTGGTACCGGTTGGACTGGGTCGACAACAGGTGCAAAGATCGGTTTCCACCAGCGTCCTGGAGGTCCAGTCTCAGAGGGACCTCGATCCACCCTATTCCAAGGTCAGGGACAGTTTGACCCCCCTGCCCCCGACCCCACCTCCAAGAACGGAGGAGATATACGCGGAAATATGCGAACTACCGGACGAAGTGCGAAGAGCTGCCCGGGATGGGAAGTCGAAACCGTCGGATGTCTGCGGGACCAGGGAGAAGGACAGAGGTTACGTCAAGTTGGCGGCGCATTCGGAGATCTCGGACGTGTCGGCGGAGGACGAAGAGGCCATCTACAACACGGTTTGCTGAGAGGGTACCGAGTCCTCGGTAGAAGGGTCAAGTCGCGTTCACTAATCGCCATTCGGAAGATTATGGCGAAAAAGCTATATGCGAAAAAGTGGAATTCGTTTCGTGCTCGCGAAGCGATTATCAGGATCAACCATTAGCGATGAAAGGAACGACGCGGGTGTTCTGGAACCAGGAGAAATTAAAGCTCGATCTGTGGGTGTATAGAACACTCCGATGCTTTAACTGCGAACTATTAATTCCCATTAAGAGGATCTCGATGCCAACGGCGACTTTCCATGTTTCGGATATCCTGTGATTTAGCATTTCCCCGTGAGATGCGGAACAGAAGGTCCGAAGACCCCGCGAGATCGCGCCGCCATGACGGGTTACCTTTACCGAAGCGCGACTTTAGCGACGAAGTTCGCGATCTGTATAATTTTTGTATGTTTCTGTACATTCTAAGTGAAATAAAGCTCTAGAGACAGGATGTATCGCTAGGTGCGCTCCCTTAGACACCCAGAAAGTCCGCCTTCTTATCGACCTGTCGTCCCTGCCGGAGACTTTAACGAGCGGCTTCCGGGACCGATTGCAGAAATTCGATTCGACTCTACGCCCGAATAAGGTAGGGACCTGTCAACCGTCGGATGGAGTTGATTCTTACAGGTGACGGCACTTTCACCGTCCTCCTAGTTTCGAACGTTCATGCTCGACTGGGTTCTACCAATTAAGACAGCGCGGATCATCGGGCCGGAAAATTGGAGAAAAAGTCCTCAACGACGACCAGATAAATTACGGCGGTGCAATTGAGTCACCGGCGCGTTTGCTTCGAGTACTTGGGTAGAATGTCTCTTTTCCACACGTCGTTATCGAACTCGGGCTCCGACTCTGGAATACCCAATTACATCCTCTATATCAGGGACTTCGTGTCCCATGGGACCGATAGTAAACTTTCCATTTAGGCGGTATCGGTGTCATGGGATCGGTACAGAGTCAAGAATCGCACAGGAAAAAATTATGATGCCTTAACGAAACGTACGATAAAATTAAGTTCGGATTTAACGCGTTAAGGACTCACCCTACTCCACCTGCGAAGCACTCCTACATAAATTTCCGAAATAAATTCTCAGGTCTGTTATCATGGATCGATTTGCCCTTTTAATAGTTCAATTTGGAGATGCTAAGACTGCGGATACGTTGTCACTTTTCAGATTTTTTGGCTTCGATTTTGGTTTACCATTACGGTTATACAAAGTTGACGCGTTTCTGCGGAAATGCCTGGACAAAAACTGAAATAAATTTTGGACAAGTGCAGTCCCGAGGCGAAGTTGTCTTTTTTAAACATTTTAAAAGCAGTCAAAAATCAGGAAGCTGAGAGTTTATTTTACAGACCTCAGCCCGAATGCTTCGCAGTCGGAGTAGGCCTCTTAATCGTTTTGAAGTCATGGAATAGTTTTAACAAATTTGCGAACCACCAACGTCACTAAGGACTGTCATATTCGTTTCTATGTGCCAAGTCACTTGTTACATATCTAAAAAAACATTTTCACAATAGTTTACCGTTTAATAACCAATGTCTTAGGTCCAATCACCCAGACCAATGCAATACTTGCATTGCTTCAACTTTAACCCGATAATTTTCGTCCATGTCCTTTTACTATTATAGGTACCCCCCTCCCTCAATTTACACGTCCCTTTCTTGCGCAGAGAATTACAACACATTTTACGCAGTTTTTATTCCCAATATTTTCTCTTCTGTCCTGTCAGCCTTTATGCGACGCGATATTCATTTGCATAAAACGAATCCACGTAGAACGGATACCTCGCATAAATTGAGGTACAGTTGTAATTATGAAGCGATTCCCCCCAAAAAACTAGAATAACTATAAATCGTTACTGCAAGCCTAAAAAGGTCAAGATATATTTCCCCGAGGCTCGGCCAAAAAAATGTCACCTATACATCTTGTTCATCCAACATTAAGACGAGTGGACGTTTTCACCAATTGCGAGGGGGTGTTCACTAAGGAAATCATGGATTTTAACGCGCGAAAGTTATGCGTAAATCAGCTGGAAATCGCAAGTAAAAATGAGTGAAAATCTTTGGAAATCACCAAAACACTGTTACAATTTTAAGGCCGAATGTCCGATTTACCGAATCGCATGGTTGTCTATCATATGACATGAAAGGCAATCGGCTGTCAAGGAAGGAAAAATCATTTTCACTGATTCCCAAGTGAACAGCCCCTCGATCGTTTGGGTCCTCGTTCTCCAGAGAGAGGGGTCCACGGAGCGCTACCGACTTCTGCTTCTGGTTTCTACCCGACCGCCAGATGGCAGGGCGCACTGGCCGGATGTTCCTGCAGACCGTCAGCGGTCAAGATCGACTTTAGTGCGGGATCGGCTCGCGACATCGGTGGAATAATGGAAAATGATTAGGTACGGTGCGTTAGCCGCGGGGCCATTAATGTTTTACGAGCACGGGAGTACTCACAGCTGCGTCTATTCAATTACGTCGAGAGAATAACAGAGGGAGAGGGGGGGGCGAGGGAGGAGGGGGCAAGAAGATCCGGGCTCGTCGTAGCACGGTGTACCCGCTCTGCGTCCATTAATATTAACGGCCTAAACTACGATAATAACCGAGCGAGCCACGCCAAGTGCTCTGGCCTCTTCCCCGAGAGCTCGGTGCTCACCCCGGAGAGCCGAGCTCTCGACGATCGTCGTCATGCATCGCCGTCCGTCGGCGGGGTCCTCGAGGAAAGAGGAACGGAGGATCCCTGCACTTCCGTTTCCGGCAGCGGGCCGTGGGAGTCGCGGGGCCACGTGCGAATCCGAACGGCGATCCCGCAATTAATTCCTCATTCATCGGCAGCGCACGCGAGAGCCGCGGGAGGAGCTTCTGATTCCTCCCAGACTTCCGCTGGGCTCTTCGAGAGAAAGCGAGAGAGGGCTGGCTTTGGTTAAAAGTGTGGTCGTGGCAGGGGAGAAGCGTTCGCCAGGTACTACGGGGTCTGCAAGAGTTTGGTCCATCGGGAGGTCCCGAGTGTCCGAGTCGTCCTGGTACTCCAAGTCGTCGCGGTTCTCCAAGTTCTCCCGAGTAGCTTAATTGTCCTGGTATTACTAGAAGTCCAACATTCTCCAAGTTGTGTTATGGTTCTTTGAGTTGTCCTGACGTTCCAAGTTACCCATGTTCTCCAAATCGTTCTGGTACTACAAGTCGTCCTTATTCTCTAAGTTATTCCGGTTTTTCGAGTTGTCCTGGCTTTCCAAGTTGTTCATGTTCTCCAAATCACCCATGGTTTCCTCTTCGTCCTGGTTCTTCAACTTGTCCTCCAAGTGATCTTCGTTCTCCAGGTTACCCAGCCTCCCCTCAAAGTATAAGTGCTCCAAATCGTCCTCGTTCTCAAAATTATTCAAATTGTCCAGATGCCTCTGGTCTCCCAGCTGTTCCACGGTGCTCAAGAGCGGTAGCGCTTCGCCTTACGAATGACGATGATAAATCGTCCCAGGGAAAGAGCCCCGAGTATATCGGCAACAGGGTTTTACGAGGTGGACAAGTTTTATTTCGCAGTAAATCGGAGTCTTCCGTCGCGGGATAATAATTCTGTTTGGACGAGGGGGGCTTATCTCGGTTAGGTTCGCGCGGAGGAAGACGAAGGGAGACCGTCCCGGAGCACGGGCGCGCCGGACGGAAATATATCGACGTGGATTTCACTTAAAAAGGCAAGGATGATGCAGCACCGGGCGGAGGGAACTGCATTACCGGATTAGCGTCGGGTCCGATTTATCGGGTACTTTGTCAAATTTCGTCCCGTCCCGACGGCCGGACCCGTAAATTATTCGGTTCCGAGTCGAAGGTGCGACCGGGCGGGCGGCCGCGGTTAAAAGAACCCTCCGAGCAATTACCGCGCCGGCGTTCCGCACCCGCGGCTCGTTACGAGGTGACAAATGAGCGCGCAACTTTGTTACCGGTGATTTAATTCCCCGCGTGCATTCAGTCCTACCTAAATCCGCCGCGCGGCGAGAACGCCCCCGTGGCACGCACGCGTCGCGACACCGGTGGGACGTAATTGATGATCCGACGACAAGACGGAGGTGCGCACCGACGAAAGACCCTTGTCATCGGGGATAATTGTGCCCGATGCGCCGGGTCTTGCCCCGCGAGCCACGTGCGATCATCTCCGCCAATAAAGTGGCCAACCTCGTCACGTCCCATAACGTTCGGGGCTTTTTCCCAACCAGAGGAGGAAGGCCCTCGGCGAGATCGCGTCCCGTTCTCTGATCCCAACCAACGATCGGCCAATCGGCTCCTCGGCAACCTGACCAACGATTCTCCGATCCAGGAACCTAGCCCCTGGGAATCGTCTTTGCTTTTCGGGATCCCTAACCTCGACCCGCGGTTTTAGAATCACGACTTTGTTTCCGGTACATACGGGGTATGAAGTAGTTTAAAGAGACCTAACGCCCTATGGACGGTTCCACAGAAAGTGGCCTCGGAATCACGATCCAGGATCTCAGATTTTCGCTGATCTAACGATACGAGCGCTACATGCGGAAAATGAGGGAACTCCAATCCTACGTGACCTAAACCTTTTCTACCGATGTAAATGACCTAGAATGCTTTTAGCCTTCGAATTTCTGTGGGAGCAATGCATCGCGTTGAAAAGGAATAAGAAGTTGGCGTAGCGCGGTTCTACGAGCAATATCGACATTGTGGTTTCATCCAAAGGATCGAGCCTTCGAATTTCTTTGATAGCCATGCATCGCGTTGAAAAGGAATGAGAAGTTGGCGTAGCGCGGTTCTACGAGCAATATCGACAATGTGGTTCCATCCAAAGGATGGATCCCTCGAATTTCTTTGGGAGCAATGAATCGCGTTAAAAGGAATGAAAAGTTGGCGCAGCGCGGTTCTACGAGAAATATCGCCATTGTGGTTTCATCCAAAGGATCGAACCCTCAAATTTCTTTGGGAGCAATGCATCGCGTTGAACACGAGGGAAAAGTCGACGTAGCGCGGTTCTACCAGCAATACCGACATTGCGGTTCCGTCCAAAGAATCGAACCATCGAATTTCTTTGGGAGCAATGTATCGCGTTGAAAACGATGGAAAACTCGACGTAGTGCGGTTCTACCAGCAATATCGACATTACGGTTCCATCCAAAGGATCGAACCCTCGAATTTCTTTGATAGCAATGAATCGCGTTGAAAAGGAATAAAAAGTTGGCGCAGCGCGGTTCTACGAGCAATATCGCCATTGTGGTTCCATCCAAAGGATCGAACCCTCGAATTTCTTTGATAGCCATGCATCGTGTTGAAAATAAGGGAAAAGTCGGCGTAGCGCGGATCTACCTGTAATGTCGACATTGTGGTTCCAATCAAAGGATCAAACCTTCGAATTTCTTTGGGAGCAATGAATCGCGTTGAAAAGGAATGAAAAGTTGGCGCAGCGCGGTTCTACGAGCAATATCGCCA